GTGGTGCTGGTGTTACTGAAAGCGGCGAACTGGACAACGTAGGAGACTGTTGACCAACTGTAAATCATTACAGCAAAGTTGATAAGTCAATTTTAAACATATCCATTCGTCATAAATGGTTACAGTAATCCTATTGCCTAAAAAGKCTTCATTACTTATTCAAATTGTWCTTCGTGAGCTYTGATTGCAAATTTTAATACTTAAAACATGGGAAGGATTCAATTTATGGCGAAATCTGAGTGCAGAAGTAAAACTGGAGATRAAAGCAAAAATCATTCAGTTTACACATTGTATTGTATATATTTCACGTAGATGTATTGATCACAATTTCATTTAGACAGACAATGAGGCATTGACACAGCAGGCCATCTCCTAAACTAATAGACTCTCTGGGTCTGTGTAGCGTTTTCTCATTTCGTGGCGCTACAATCGATTGTTGTATTTCGAGAAAAAAAATCATTAAATGAATTTTATAATCTGCTAATATTTATGACGTCAACTTAATTGTATGACGTCATATTGATGTCATTTAACGCCAATGTAAAACTTACATGTTAAACTGCCTTGAGCCTTGAAAATAATGCAAGGGTTACTGACAGATGACGGGGGTGGCTTCCAAAAGTCTATTGTAAAGTTTTTGAATTCAATGATGATGAGCCTTCCGTCTAAAATTGATTTGGATAATGGACGCCAGTCTAGATGTACAAACTGGGGATTGATTTGTGAACAATGTTAATGTCTAAAATTATGGACTGCAGAACGACATAGCGAGTCCCGTTACCATATCTTTCCCGTGAGATTGTCTGATGGAATGTATTTTTTGAGATGGTGATGACTAAGATAATTYGATMCGGGATGACACGAGTGAACTTTTTGGTARCAGGGAAAGAAATATATGAARCGAGTGTTCAGWGTTAGCGRTAATGATAATTGTAYWGGCATTTGAGATGAACATGGGATGACATTAATGGATTGCCATATACTATACCTGCTTTTCCTTTTTAAGAGAAAATRTGTTCAYAAAATTCGTTGYTTCGAGCAACCCCCCTCTTGAATCGTCAAAGTAAAACACATGTTTGCTTCTACACTGACCATGGAAGGTTTTGACGTTTTTAAAATTCACGTCCTCCGACGGTGGAGCATCTGTTAGTTCAAACACAGGATATGGACTGTCTCTTGACTGGTGTTTGAATTCTAAAAAACCTCCAAAACAAACTGGAAGGTGAAATATAATCAATAAATTAACATTTTCTCATTTTCAAACTTGAACCACACAACTGGAGTCAGCACTAATAGGAATGCAACTATGAGTTAGCCGGTTGCCACCAGCTGTGAATCTTTCAATTTTCATTAAAACCTCTATTTTCTCCTTAAATATTTTTCTGGTATATGATACACACGATGTACCGACTAGATCTTGTAGATCAGATGCTCACGTTATGCCCTGGTGCCTCGGTAGCATGTTGTACAGGGAGGATGGGCGAAGGGTTGAAAAGGATACAAAAGTTGTTGCAAGGACTCGAGACAATCCGCATCTAAAAGATAACTACTTCTGCATGCGTTGCTTTCATTTGTTCTTGCGCGGAATGATTTCGCCGTTTTCTTGTTCTAAGATCAACCAGATGTTTTACCTTACCTCGAGCGTGAGAGATCAAATTTTCGATGTCCACATTGGCATTGCATTGGTCGTTGAAGTAGAAATATGTGCTTTTTTCACTCGGGCATTCACAGAACCCTTGTGAAAGTAAATTGGCTTTGTACCTAGTTATACAGTCTGTCCATGTGTAATAAGAACCAAATCGATCAGGCTCTCCGTGTTCGTTAGTGGGATCTTGCTCGCGTTTAACAACCACAACTCCATTGTCAGTACTGTGCACACTAGGACATAGGGCTATGAAAGACACGATGATAAAGTTTATAGATAACCATGATATTGGCCTCATATCGTTGACAAGAAAAATTTTCCTTGATGCCAGCTTTTTTTTTTGCTGATGATGAACTCTTATCTGGATGAATGATGTATACTTTCGGGAAAGATCAACACTATTTCAAGTGCTCAAGTAGATGTTCCGAAACATTATATGCAACTCAGAAATTAAAAAGAAAATCCATATTTCCTGGTGCTGAAGATGACATAGTTCGAACCAATAGCACGCCTGGTTGCTCAAGCATTTTTACTTATTTTGGAAAACGAATTTTAATTATCAGAGTATATACGTCAAAAGGAACACATTATTACCACGACAAAAAAGAAAAGAAATCTTTCTGTTTCCATGCGGCGGAAAACCACGACTGGTAAAATTTATTCAACAGGAAACGACAATTAGTTAAATAGCTTGAAAGGCACGAAAGTGAAAGTCTATTGAAAATCCTCCTGAAGAAAAATTTCCCTATTTATTATTCAAGCTGATGCTTTTATTACATATCCACGTACTATTTTAATATTTCGTTTAACAATTGACTCGTTAACCCTTTCATTTATATCATTTTAATTTAAAATTTTTACCATAACTTATTGATATATTTAAGACAGGAATTGTGTAGAAAGTGCATAAAACATTTTTTAAACCGGTTTCCCTAGCAATTCTCCAATTTCGAGTTCTGGTTTGCTCTGAGTTAGCCTCAAAACGTCCAAGCAACATTTTGTTTCACTGATAGGCCGAGAAGATACACGGAATTTTTGAAGATAGCGAATAAAACTGCCTTGAAATCTCACACTTTTATGCTCACAATTAGGAATTGCACACAATTGATGCTAAGAAAAAGAATTGGAGAATACTCCATTTTACAGTTTCAGGCACCATCTTGAAAGGTAGCCGAGCCTTAGCATCAAAGCGAGGCTCGCAGTAGTTGAGCTTGCAATGATAGATACCTGTGAATAATTGTCTTAAGTGTGAACAAAAGGTATCTATCACTGCAGGCTCAACTCCTTTCGCTCGATTTCATGCAAAGGCTTAGCTACCTTTCAAGATGGCGCCTGGAACTGTAAAATGAAGTATTCGAAACTGCAGGAGTATTCAGTTTTTTATGTCATAAAATATTTATAGTATCAGTCTAAGATGATTGGCCGCGTGTGTCGTTATCCAACTTTTCTATCATTGATAAATTAAGACGCTAAATTTCTTTTAACCGGTCAAATTATCGACGTTCACATAGCATTGACAACTTGATGTTTTATCTAATGACTGATACACGTCATCTTTAGGGGACTTTATCTGTAGAGGCTGGTAGACTGGCTCAGATGAGGGCCCATCTTCAGGCTCGTCCTTTTTATTGATGTATTCATTTGGCTCATTATATGATGGGGTGCAGATGTCTTCTTTGCTATGTGTACCACGTACTACGAAAGAATGAAAAAAGAAATAAGAAAACCCATGGTAAAGATAAGATATGCAGAATTCATGCACTTCTGGCGATATGAATTGATGATTAAATTAAACAAGGATGAACCTATAAGGCGCTGTTACAGCCGCTGTTTAATTAAACTTAGGGAGTTATCACTATTTTATAAAATTGATTCAGTATTAGCATACGATATTACACCAAACAAAAGGATCACAACACTTATCATAAATGATCGTTTTGCACAAATGTAATACGATAAAAAGAAGAGTATTCCAGCAGTATGTTTTTCTATTTTTCAAGGTCTTTTCAAATGCCCGTTATAAAAATCTTTCATTTCCAGGGCAATTCAAGGAGTACAACGAACCCTGAATAAAATGTGCCAGTTGTTTACTCAACAGAAAGTTATTTTCATATATTTTCAATCGGAATTCTATTATATATATTTTGGCGGATGGTCATAATTTTTTTGTACACGATTCAAGGGAGAGCCACATTTTTTTCTTTGTCTTACAAGGGAGGACCCTATTTTCTCAACAGGGTTCGTTGCACATTTAGTGGCCTCCCCCCCCTCCCAGTAAATAATGATAACAAGTCCCTTAGTGCATGTCGATCAGTATATCCCTTGTAAAAGAGCTGATTAAAATACTGGATGCGTTGTTGGGAAACTTCAATTGCATTGTTACTGCACGCAGAGAGTACACCTAAGGGGCGATCCATTAGACTTCTGTGGGGGGAGATGGAAGATCTAGTTGGTGCAAGCATTTTTTTCGACTTGAACCATAGGGCTACCCAACTATTCCTTGAGAGTAAGAAATGAACAAATGCGCTCGCTTATACTATTATGTTATCGAATTGGCGCGCGCTGTGGGTTACTTTACGCCATGATCCCGCGCCTCGCGGGATACAAACTAGTCTGTACTAATGTTAGTTTGTATCCCGCGAGGCACGGGATCGTGACGTAATACCACAGGTAATCTGCATTTCACTAAGAGCGCGCGCCGATACTAGTACTAGCGATACTAGCGTAAAAGCGTGCGCATTCATTCTTTTCTTTCTCTCAAGGAATAGTTGGGTAGCCTTTGCTTCAGCCGCGTGCTTGCAATATTGTTTGTAAATTTACAAAAGCTTTAATGCAGACTTGCGCATGGCGTTTCAAGTTGGTGCAATGTGTTGCAATATGCTGCTTGTTCATCAACAACAACTAACCGAATCACTTAGGGAGAATGACCCCGGGAGATTGACCGTAAATAGACTAGCGTTTCTATCGTTAAAAGGCTCTCGAAACTTCGAAAATGTGTACTTTTGAAATTAGTATAATCATGATCAGAAACCAGTCTTGGACAGAATTGGCAATGCTTCACAAACCTGGGATTGAACGCTGGCACATTCCTGTCGTTCTGTTATTGAAACGAAGATCTCCGTCCATAGCAGCATAATCATACACAAATGCGCCTGGAATTGAAATCTGTTGCATTCCTTTTGGTATGTTCTGATGTGAACGAGGATCTTCATTTACAGAAGCGTAATCGTACTCAAATGCGTCTGGGATTGAACGCTGTTGCATTTCTTTTGCCGGTCTGTTCTGATTGGAACCAGGACCTCCATTCACAGAAGCATAATCATACTGAAATACATCATCTAAAGGTATGAAATAAATACAATCATAAATGTTGGCAAAGCAGATATTAGCAAAATTGTTGTATTAGTGGATTACTGAATCCGACTTTACCCGTTTGCACAAGACTTGCGATTTAAGGTGTATTGAATACAAGTTCTTCTAGTTTTTATATACGCAATCGCAAGCGTCTTATTTGAATAAGTAAAACATGTTCAGGCTAACAGTTTTGGTAATACAAGAGTAGATTTTGATTGTCCAAATACATTTCCACAAGTTTATTTCTTGAATCTTTCAATAATGGTCTGCAAACATTTTATGCTGAAAGAACAGTTTATCTATGACTAGTGATGGCACGAGGTGTAGTAATGGAGCAGTAGGAGGAATAGGCCATCAAATTTTCTTTGCATTGACTGTATGTGTCTACAGCTCTTAAAATGTAGTGTATTCAAGATCGAAATGGATTGTTGGTCATCGTATCACTATAGGGGGTTTCATTGATTCAGAAGTTGCTACGCCAGCTCTGTACCTACGAGCAATTATTTAGTTTTGAAATACATTTTTCATTTATTAACGGCACGTACGTGGAATCATGTATAGCAACATTGATTGAGTCTGTGGAATACCCTCAGCATTCTCGTACCCAGATCCTTCTTAGTTTCGGAAAATCGACGGCTCTCACTGGAAAAAATTGCACTCCTTGAAGGTTATAAATGTTATGGAAATATGTGGAAACTTTGTGTAAATATGATGTAACAACAGCAGGGTCTGAATCGGGGGGGGGGGGGGGGAGGGTCTCGATGTCGATTGTCAGCATTTGTCAGTTAAAATTTCAAGCATTTGTCGGTATAGTCAGCTAAAATTCTAGTATGTATCGGTAGTCGGGGATATTTAAAAAAAAAGTTGAATGCATCAACTACGGTGCGTTAAATCAACATGTATCAACAGAATGCATTCTAGAATGCCAACAATTGAATCCTTGAGTCTTGATTGGTCAATTGGATGCCACTTAAAGTTTTACAGTTTTCAAGAAGCCACTGATCCGAAGCAAAATTTATTTTTACGCGCAAAACTTCGAATGTACTTGCTTGAAAAATACAAAAAACTTGTATTCAAGAAGCTAAGGTTGTAAATTTGATGTAAATATGATGTAAGCGTCCAAAATTCTGTAAATTTGATGTAAATGATTTTCATTACATTGACAGAATTTTGACACTTACATCATATTTACATCAAATTTACAACCTTTAAAGCGCGCAATTTTTTCCAGTGAATGTATGTAAAATCATGTAAATATTACTTGTACATAATTTACATCAAATTTACAACCTTTAAAGTACGCGATTTCTTCCAGTTTCTGCATGGCTGTAGACGATACCAGAAGATCAAGAATCTGGGCCTTATAATGATATGAAGCACGGGATTTTTTAAGCAAAGAATGATTCGTTTCCATTCTTCCGTTGGGAAGCTGAGAAGGATCTGGGTACGAGAATGGTATCACAGGTATCACAGTATTCATAGACTCAAGGTTTTTTTTATGAAGAGAGTTTTACCATCACGTTGACGGCAAACGGCTAACGGCAGAGCTAAACCAATGACCTAAGAATTTCGTGCCCGACCTTGTGCTTTTGGTAGTCATTTGAAAGAGCGGCTTTTCACGAGTATGGCAAACCCAAAAAACCCTCTCGCGCGTTGAAACTGCAACGTTAAACTCAAAAAAAGCAGGTCACGTGATCTTTTCTGCCGTTTGGCGTTTGCCGTGAACGTCATGCTAAACCTCTCTAATGTTTCTATGTAACCACTGTAACCAGACATGCACCTTTCATCGACACGTATAATTCTGCGGGCTCTTGTAACTCAACTGTCTGTGAACTTCCGTGTGCATTTGTTGAGATCCTTGCTGCAGAAAAATAAGAAGGAAAAGCTGAACATTTGGTATCAGCTAACAGCCTAGCACCAAGTTTATGAATGGGAAATGGGAAAATATGGGGAATGTGCAAACTGTGTAATCATTATAACCTGGGTTGCTTGGTAAGTCTGGAATTGTATTCATGTATATTTCTTCTGCTCCGTTTTGATTGGATGTTTGGCTGCCATTGGAACAAGGATTGGCACCTACGTCAAAATCATCCACAAGTTCATCCCCTAAAAGAAATGACATTCAATGGTAAATGATGTCCAGGAAATCGATAATGGCTGTCTTTGAACCTAAGCTCACGAATGTTATCGTAAAGTTATAGATTTTGATTTCTCAAGTATTCACTTTTTTTACAGATTTTGGCAAATTATTTCACGTTATCAATCACTTATATCAAACAGATTTATATATGACTATATATTCTGATCCAACTTACAAAGTTTGTAGTATCTGCTTTTAATGTGTCTATATATTGGATAGGCAAGCTTCCTCTTTTACAAAGTTTGATATTGAAAGAGAGAGATCTTCTGAACACTCTTTTTTTATGTTTTTGTTGGATCAAATTAGAAGAAGCAAAAATGCTACTTACTGGAATTGTGAGTTGCGGTGCCTATTTGCCTGTCGAGGAAAAAAAAAATCAATGATACCTCCTGAATGAATGAAATAAATGTACATAATCGTTACCGTTTTTTGAAAGGGTTTTTGGTTGATATTCACCATTTTTGATTGCGGGTTGCAGCATTTTAATAGCATACTAAGCAACTGATCTGTTTATAAAAATGGAAGGTTTTGCGGAGAAGTCGAGATCTTAAATGAAAATTTTTGATAGCATTCTGTACTTACCGAGATTTCTGTTTCAGTTTCCTGTATATTAGCACTACTATGAGAACGAGTAGAACAACTCCAAGCACAATAACAACGGATCCCACTATGACCCCATGTTTTGAGGTAGCTTTCTGGTGGATCAATCAAATCATTAGGACTGTGCTCAAGGCTCCCATTGATAACGATGCACAGTGGTGTCCCCCTTTTTGTGAAAAATTAAATTCTCGTCCATGTTTTCATTTTTTAAACAAATAAATCTTCTAAAAGGAAAAATAAAAAGTAAATTAGCTAGCTAGTTTCCAAATTAATTCGCTAATTTTAGTTGGAAATTTCTATTTGATACGTCCTCCAAGCAATCCGTCATGCAAAATTCCCGCAAAAAGTTCGCGCCATTTAAGTACCCCCCCCCCCCCCCCCCCACCTTAAAAATGTCCTGGATCCGCCCCTGTTGCACATGCAACTGATGGGACCAATCTGAGCTTTTTAAGGAATAAAGCTTTATTCATTCATATATCCGAGAGATTCATTAATATCCAATAAAGCTGATATACAATCTAAACGTAGACTTTACAATGAACAACGGGTTTACTTTCCTGGAAGAGACTACAAGGAATGGCCTAAACATTGGATAACAATGAACGTATTCGGATTTTTATTCCTCCACTTTTCCTTGGAAAGTTAAGAAAGCACTATTATAGATAAATAAATTCTACAAGAACACAAATCTATCAATACCTTGGTTTTCTTGTTCGTATGATTTTGAGAGCTGGTTGGGCTAATCGGTGGAATTCCTGGAAAGACTGTTGACTTGCCGTATAGTGTTGATCTGGTTGATGGTGCTGATGTTACTGAATGCGGACTGGACAACGTAGTAGACTGATGACTAACTGTAGATCATTGGCAGTAGAATTGATAAGTCAATTTGAAACAGATCCATTTCGGCATTATTATAATTACTGTGATTGTGTTGGCTTTATTACTTTTTCAAATTACACTTCATGAACTTTGATTTTTAAACACGAAAGGTGTCATTTTTTGTCAAAAGCTGAATGTATAAGTGATTTTACTGCAGTGTAATGCCAACATGGATTGAGAATATGCATTTCGATCATTTAGTCGTTAAATAAGAATTCGCATGCTTTATCAGGCACGGATTTCAGGCACATTTGTTATCCCAGTAAAGATATATCAGTGTCTGTTTCCAACACCTTCAAATTTTTCCATTCGTTTTCCCTGAACTAGTTTACCAATTCGTAAAATACTAAGATGTTATTGATCGTTTTCAACGATTCCCATGAGATTCAAAGGATAAAAGACCGGCGGCCATGTTGGATGAATGAACAATAGATACTAATGAGAAATCCTTTGTTGAATGTCAACCAAGATGGCCGTTCTGACGTATACTTAAAACGAGGAATACTTACATGTTAAAGTTCCTAGCGACTTGAAGATAATGCAGGGTTTACTGAAATGTGATGATGGGAACTTCGTCTCAACTTTGCATGTTTTATTGAATTCAAGAATGACAACTCTCCCTTTTAAGAAAGTTGATTCAGACGTCGGACGCCAGCGTAAATGTACTGTCGTCTGTGGGGGATTAATCATGAACAAAACGCTTAAAATGATGTACTGAATGACAGGAATCATATTATATCGTTCACATTATGGAGATCATGATGGGGATGGAACCTTTTTTGGCAAAAGCAATCTTGCATGTGAAGACGATTCGAAATGGTGATGGCAGATACCAGTAATTGTCATTGTGGGCAATGGTGCCGTAAAGCGCATGTGTGACGATGATAATGATGTAAATGATAATGATGATATTATAATGATGGCATTAGCGACTGTATTGGTAGAAGCATGATTGAAGGTCATGATGGCAATGGTGACATTAATGGTGATGATAGGAATACCAGTAAATATGGTGCTGTAATAGTGTGCCGGTAAATGGTAAATATATAAGAGAGTGTTTATGATTGAAGGCGATGGCAATGGTGACAGTAATGGTATGACAGGAATAAATGATAAATGTGATAAATGCTAAGTATATAAGATGAGGATTGAAGGTGATGTCAACAGTGACGGATATACACCCTTTTAATAAGTCCTGAGTTATTGCGTTCTCCGCACTTGACGTCAAATTTATTCTTTTGAATTCCTTTTGTATTGTAAAAATTTCAAAAGAATAAATTTGACGTCAAGTGCGGAAAACACAATACCTCGGGAGTTATTAAAAGGGTGTATAATGAGCTCCTTGCCTTGATGATTTTGGAATTGGTACGGACAATTTTAGTGATCATATGATGACATGCAGAAGGACTGAATATGGCATACCTTGGCTCTTTTTTCAAGAGAGAAATTCCCAAAACTCGCTGATTTGAGCAGCTTTCCACTCGATTCATCTAAATAATGCACGTTGTCTATGCTGCATTGACTATAAAAGGTCTTGACGTATTTTAATGAGCTGGATGATGAATTTGTTATGTCAAACACAGGATATGGCTCAGATTCCCTCCGTAATAGGCCTCCAGGACAAACTACAAAATGACCCGAAAATTGTCCAATAAATAAAAGAAAACAAAACGTAAAAGTTATAGAGCAGCAAATAGGTAAGATTAGGTTCGGTTCACACTGACGCAGAACTGACATGATTTTTAGTGTGAAGCCCGAGTGAAGACAAAAGTACTCATTGAGCAGAAGCAAAAAATTTGAAAAATGGCATGTTTTATGGCTGAATCATACTATGACATAAGCATTTATGAAAATGTATTCTTGTATACGTGAAAAACCTTAGCGCATATGCGGCGTTGCTCGTTTTTACCATAACCTTTACCCTACTCAAACAGAGTTTTTATCGTTTGTAATTCCCGAAGAGATTAAATTCTTAATTTGTCTTAGCTAGTGCCTTCAACACTCGTTCGTTTTCGATTCCTCGTGGCTGCAATAAATCATTAATTCATAGACACTTAAGAATATTTTTATGGTCTCTTTTGATTCGCATGATTACTGCGTTAACAGTTGGACTACTTCACATTAAATTTCCGGTATACCATCTAATTTTCCTTGTCGGTATTTGAAAAAAATTCACTAATAAAAAGATAAAATAATAAGATTTATCAATATATTGCTAGAATTAACGCAGTTAATCCGCCCAAAAAGCCTTAAATAATCATCCACTATATTCTCAACTGAGGCGGAACATTCTTTGAAACACCATTTACTAAAATGCACAAAATAACAGAGAGTTTAGTGTAATTTCACGGATTAAGAGGCCTAGCGTAAACGCTGATTGTCTTAATAACATAGATTAAATTACCTGATTGAGTTTTTAACTTGTTTTCAAAGTCATAGTTACTGATGCAAGAATTCTTGAAGTGAAGAAATGTGCTTTCGTCATAAGGACATTGACACTCTGTCCCTTTAGCAGCAAATGCCCCGCCATATTTATGGCATTCGGTTGCATTATGAACAGAACCAAACTTGTCACTACCAGCTTTACGTATAACATATGTGATATTACTCATCACATTGTGAATGTTCCCACAAAATAGTAGAAATGAGAAGACAAAAGACCAAAACCATTTTGGTAGCATCATGCCTCAGTTGTGTCAGTCAGAAGATCGTTAAATCTTATGGAAACATCGGCAATTAAAAGTTCTTTGTTTAAGCGTCTATATACGTTTTCGAAAAACGTTGTCGAGAAGAACGGCTGGCGAATTAACGACCTGTTGCGTTTACGTTACGTGAAAATGGTAACTAAATACTAGAGCCACTTCATCTTTTCTGTTAAAGCTGTATATACAAATTAACTCCAGGAAAAAAGCAAATACACGATAGTTTGCCGAGTCTGTACGAATTTCCGTGTTGAAAGTATATATTGGAACTTTATGCAAATATTCATCGCGTGAATTGACACGTTTTGAAGGAAGGAGGTGCGCAACCCCCAATGTATATAAATGGCATGCCGTAGGATCTAGATGAATCAGCACGGTTTGGCGAACTAGTTTCTTTTTGTTTTCATGCGCTCTGTTCCTGAGGAACACCAAACAGATCATTTTCAAACTTTGCTACAAAATTTGACAGAGTAAACGTTCCAACTACATTTATCAGGAATTTTAATTAAAATGACACAATAAATAGAATCGCCATGTTTTTGCAGTTATTTCAATATCTTTTTGGGGAGAGGGGATTTACTGTATTCAAGTTTCCGTAATAATGGGCGTCCGTAGTACTGAGGTGCCCACAATCCAACAGTTGCCGGCTGTGTTAGGATTTATACAGCCTTTTTCTACACTCATGATGATTTTTCAATCATCGTTTAGTTGTACGATCCACAAATACGTTTTTATCTTCAAGTGTTGTCTTCAGCTACGGTATTTGCTAACATAGCTTTCCTCGCATCTCGCAACTCTTTGAGTTCTTGAAAAAACCGAAGCTTGTCGCTGGCACGAGGGTACGTCATCGTACGACCTGATGTTGATGGCATGACATAAACAGGCTGGAAGGAAGAAAAAACAGTAGTAAATCATTTATTGTGTTTAATTACAAGGAAAGTCCACGTGCCTCCGAGAACATTTGCGGTCGTTTGCTTTGCTTTACAAATGATTACAAATGATCCCCTGTTGATGTTTGCTTTCTGATTGGCTTAAATCAAAGATGGCGAATTTTGGTATTTGACAACATTCGCGCAAAGGTTCACGGGTGCACGAGGGCCTTTAAGGCCTTTTTAAAGTAAAAACAATATTTTTTCACTCTTTCTTTGTTGACAGTGGCGATTCGTCTTAAACAGGAAAAGGGCATATTGAAAAAAACTTACAACATCTGTCCCTGGTATGCAATCTGGCTGATTTCCTATTTCACACTTTGATCTTGAGAATATTTCATAAATTCCTGGAACATGAAATTAACAACAGTATTGGGATTAGAATCCTCAAAGAAAGAGTGGGAATGGAAGAAAATGAAAACTAGACGGATGTGTTATTGTTAAAAGTAAATAGGGAAACAATTAAAAAGGAAAATAAAAATGAAAGGAATGGAAGAGAAAAAAATAGTGAATATAAAATGGGAACAAATTTTGAAAAATGAAATAATCAAATTTAGCAAAATATGTGGGTGTTGCAATCTCATTTGTCAAAAGGTCTTTAAAGTGTATACATATACATCAATAATAGTAATGACTTTTGATCTTTTTGTTTCAATAAGTGATCATTACCTTTGCCATTGAAACAAGCTACTAAAGGTTTTAGTCTTTTAATTTTGGAGATTAAATCTTCAACTCCATCTTTGATTTCTTTTCTGGAAATAAAGAGATTTGTTTTCATAACTTGAGACACCATAGCTAAACAATCACTTCAAAAAGAAACACAAACAAGTTATTTCTTTTAGAATGATGCAACAGGCCTCCATCACCGAGGGAGGGTTAATGAGTCTAAGGAAAATTTGGCTTTTAGTGTCAAATGTTACAGTCTCAATCTTGAAAATTCTTCTACTAGCTCCAAGAAAGTCCTTATGATATAAAAAGGAACAACAATCACAATTAAGATTGATGTTCCATCGTAAAAGATGCCATGCCTTTGCATAGGCTGCCCAAAATTGCTTGGGAGAAAGAAAAGAACGAATGTGCATGCTTCTACATAGTGGTATTATGCCATGCACGATCCCATGGGATCAAAAACTAGTCTGTGACAGACTAGTTTTTGATCCTGCGAGGCAAGGGAACACTGACGTAATACGAAAAGTAATCTGTATTTAACTAAGAGCATGTGCTGATAACAAAAGCGTGCGCATTCATCCTTTACTTTTTCTCAACAATAGTTGGGTGGCCTATGGCCTTTGCATTGAAAGAGACAACCAGCAAGTATGCAATGATAACAAAATGTCTTCACACCTACAGACTGTCAATAATAGCTGTCTGAAGCTTTTACCTTGGGGCTTTCACACCATGTATCGTATACACAATGCATTTTACAATATGGGACAAAATATGGCAGATTTCTTTTGTATTCTCTAGAAATTCATCCCACAATCAAATAGTGACATAAAAGGTCCATATCTTCCATTGCAACGTCACTGGTCATCATGCTTTCACACAGCATCCAGGTTATGCAGTGAGATATGAAGAAAATTACTTAAATATCATTATGAATATGTCCTGCAACACAAATAAGTAATAACCTTGACAAATCAGAACTACCACGTGTTGTTCTCATGACAATATTTGTTAGGCCAATACCATAAGACGGACACTTGATGTCATCTTGATAAGAGAATTTTTCAGGAATAAGTCCAGATTCAAACAAACATGGCCCTTGAATGAAATGGAAATTGATGAATAAAGTATAGTAGACATATATAACATACATACTGTATAATAATCATATTTTTCTAACCAATACAATTATTTGAGGATTCTTGTTAATTTAAGGAAACACGTTGTAGTCTGGACAGTGAGGTTGGGGTTAGAGGTGGTCCATTCTTCAAATAAAACTTATGGTTTAAGGAGGAAAACACAGGAGGGGTCATATGTTTGTCTTTGAGGTTCCTGTAAGGTGTATACAATA